AGAATTTTAGACACTAGAGCATTCTGTGACTGGCTCACACAACTACATAATTTTTTAATAAAAAATTGGCTACAGCTGGTCGATATAGATGGGAAAGTCTACTTCATTATCCAATAGTCAATGATAAAACTATGTCTATTGTAGTTGTTTTGGAAGCATTGACATTTTCATCCTTATAAACTTTAAGTGGTTGAGAAAAAGTGCCCCTGTTTTAAAACAATAGGCCTTTAAATAAGTTGCATAAAAATAGAAAGAGACACCAATGTCGAAAAACTTTATTTTTTAAATGCTCCAGCGAAGAATGGGAATGATCTTCTTTCTCACTCTACTATAGCTTATGGCCTTTTCTGATAGACTCTTTCTTATGCCCATGGGGATTCTTTAGTTCTATTCTTGAAACTCTTTGAACTAATTATCTGTAATTAAATTGATGGTTTTAAGCATTAAGTTTTACAGTTTTAAATTAAGTTTGTAAGACAATGTAGGCTAGTCCTAAGTTGCATCTGAATATAACTTAATCAAGTTTGGAAATTTATACATTATAAGCATAAGACCTACTTTCTATAACATACTGGAAACCTTTGAAGTTCCCCTTTCCAAGATATTTTGGCAAAACTTTGATATCCGACTCCATCATAATATTTATTAATTTTGTTACAATCGATATCAAAGTTTAGTATTCGATAAATTTATTTTGTTTACATATTTCTTTTTTCCTAGGACGCTAGGCACGAGCCTGGGATTGTTTTTCACATTACTTCAGGCTAGACCTATGGGTTGCGGCATTATCACTTAGATAAAATCCATTGGTGACTTGGCGGGGATCGAACCCGCCGAATTTTAAGGCTTAGTTTGGAACAGATTCATTTTATGTATAATCAGCTGGTAGTTAATGTATAATAGTAAATGTAGCGGTGGGACACACGGGAAGGACGATGGCTAACATACTGTCAGCGTTTGCCGCTAGAACCGCTAAGTTGAAAAATTTAAATTAAGTTAATTTTATAACTTTTAACTTAGTTATAAAATTATCTTTTTAATTATAAAATTAAACTGTCATAACCTAACCTAACCAACCAAACTTGCTGATAATAAAAAAGATATAAGATAAAAATGTGCTGGAATCACATCGTCTCGTTACGGTAATTGTGTTGCCTCAAGAGAAGACATTAGCCACTATAGATATGACGTCACCACACCTTTAGCCATCGTCCCTCCTGTATGCCCATTCCGTAAATGTAGGCCTAGGGCGTAAACTTAAGTGCTTAACCTTAACTTGTATAATAAAAATTTTGTTTTTGGTTGAACATTGATAGGCCTATAACACCTAAGTATAGGCTTAAACCCTGAAACAGATCATCAACTCAACTCGATGTTTACAGTAAAATTGTATTGTAGAAACAATGGATTAAAACCAATATAAGTTAACTAAGTAATTGATATTTAAGCTGATAATATATCGCAGAATCTCTGCATAACTGTGCCTGTCATGTGACCTAAACCCATTCCAGTGACGTAAAATTGTAATTATCAGGGCTATGCCAGGCCTTTCAAAAACTGCATTAATGTCTGGACTGCCATAATTTTCATTAACAGCTCCAAAAGCTGTGTTTTTGAAGGATGCATCATGTAGACAATTACAATAGGTACCGGTACTTGGAAGGATTTGGTTCTATAATTCTAACAGTCTCTATACTTTTTGGAGAGTCAAGCCTATGACAGTGAAAAAGGTCGGCTGCACTTTACTTTAGGTCCTACACTCATTCGAATGAAAATATCGATCGATAAATCGATTGTTTCATTCAATATATCGTTTGGTTAGTTAGGTATAAGGTTAACCTAACCTAACTAACCAAACGATATATCGGATGAAACAATCGAATAATCGATATTTTCATTCGAATGAGTGTAGGACCTAAAGTAAAGGGCAACCAAACAGTTCAATGTTGATTATGCATATTATTTATTTCACATCTCTGATATTCATACTATAGGCCTACCTTTGTCCTCAAACTAAGTTACCTGTGGCAATTAAGATCCATTAAGCATCTTGTAGCTTGAAGAATTCTTTGACTTTGGTAAATAATAGGTCTTCTGAGGTTTAAGCCTAGATTTTTGCTTTGGGTTGACACAGTGTGTACATTACCTTGAATTTTTTATTAACGATAGTCCATTCAATAATAGATAGATATTTTAAGATTTAATTTAAAACTTCAAATGAAACGTAAATATGCCTAAAACATTATGCACTAACACTTGAAAGTTGACACTTACAACTCTGGTCCTAAAAACTTCACAAGAGTCAAAGTTAACATCGTTTCTCATTCTCAGAAGTAAACAGTCAACACAAGTAATTTTAATAACATTTGACATTTGATTTGACAGAATTTGACAGAAGTCAAGAGGTTTAAGTTTACAACAGTCGGCACAAAACACAACACACAAGCATTTTTCGCGACTCGTGAGATCTTACAGACAGACTAAAAGCTAAAAACGACGTCAAAAGGCTAAAAGAAAAGTTTATATTTTGCTATACATCAATTTAGTGAAATTAAAGCATGAATACTGTATACTACCACATACTACTGTCATAGATAAAACCATAGATAAAACAAAACATACTCCCTTAGTAGATTTCTCATCCTTATGGAACAGCTGAAGACAATTTTATTGTTAGTTCTGTACGGTTTATGTAAGAGGTCGTGTTTTGTTTACAATTTGTTTCCCGTTATTACAGCCATTTAAAACCTCGTTTAACCAAATAATACGATATAATCATAAACAATAACTTGTCCCCTAGTTATATAACCAAACAGTAAAGCACAAATCAAGAAATTAACCCTAACATAATATAAACAAAGTTTCGTCGACACTAACGCCCATGTGTCACGTACATGAACTAGACACGAAAAACGTGCTTCAAAATTTACAATGGGATGAGAAGTCTACTTGTGTTGGTTAGTCTATGATAAAACATACTCCCCCTGGTTAGTCTATGCTACTGTCACGGCCGGGGCGGCCGTGCTACTGTACTGTATGCTCAAAACTAAAATAAAACTCTTCTCTGAACTGAACCAAAATAACAAAATGTCAAGGGAATACAAAAAGTTTCAAAAAAAAAATTAAACCTAAGTAAATATGATTGGTATGTTTAATGGTTTAATTTATTTTATAATTTAAAGGCGGCCGTGCTACTGTACTGTATGCTCACAACTAAAATAAAACTCTTCTCTGAACTGAACTAAAATAACAAAATGTCAAGCGAATACAAAAAGTTTCAAAATAAAACAAATTAAACCTAAGTAAATATGATCGGTATGTTTAATTTATTTTATAATTTAATTTTTCAGACATTTTATATGAGAACAAGTTTTCGTGACCAATGAAATCTAAGTTATTCGAGTAAACAATTTTTGCATATTATATGATCTTAGCGATATTTATCTTGGACTGTAGTTAACTGGATGTAGTTAATATAGTTAATTGATACTTATTAATTTTAAGTCAGTCAAAACACATTCTATTAGCTTCTAATCCATAAAGCCCAAAGTACCCATGAACTTAAACGGGGTAAAAAAGTCGTGGGTAACAGCATTAATAGTCAATGGTAACACAGCTAGTTTAAAAAAAAAGTTTAAGTTTTTTCAATTACAATACTAGTATGTTTTATCTATGCTATAATATTATGCTATGCTATTTTATTATATCACAAATTGTAACCAACACAATAATAGTTTTTTAATGTTTGTATCACTGTACTGTAAATTGAAGCTATTCAACCAATGAGATAACAGGTTTAAAAATTACAGCAGTAACCAATCGGAATCTGAGTTTCTCCTCTGATAGGCCTACTTTGCTCAACAATACTTTTCTAGTTACGAACACGGTGTAACAAGTTATCTTGGTAAATTATTATCGAGAAGTTATATCGTTATATGTTTTAGCCCAATTAAGAAGCCAAATAATATTTAATATAGTTACCAGAACAATACAGGTTACTGTAGAAAATATAAAAGTTACAGTAAGTTACTTTGGAAAAATACACAAAAAGTAAAAACCTGCCAGAAAGAAGTAAGTAGGCCTAAGTTAAAGATAACTTAAATACCTAAGATCCAATTCAATTGAAAGAGGCCTAAGCATAACTTATTAATAGGCTTGTGCATATTTTAAAATTGTAATACCTGGTGAGGCAGTGAAATGGCACGATTTTTTTAAAATCACCAATTTAGGCTATCTAGAAACAAGGGATGTTGGTTTTAACACAAGCAACTCTTAAAGTAGGCCTACATCATCACTGGCAATTAATTTTTTACCTTATAATATTAATAGCCTAATTTGTTTGAATAGGCCTAGGCCAGGTACACTTCCATATCTGTTGGCACAAACAACCGAATAGGCCTAAGTAATATTGATTAATGATTATTCAATTGTTTAATTTGATATATCGTTTGATTAGTTAGGTTAGGTTAACCTTACCTAACTAACCAAACGATATGTTATATAGAATAATCGATAACTTATATAGATCGATATTTTCATTCGGTTGTTTTTGCCAACAGATATGGAAGTGTACCCCCTAGGCCTACCGGGTACACTTCCATATCTGTCGGCACAAACAACTGAATTTGAGTAATATCGATCGATATATCGATTATTCGATAACTTATATTGTTTGGTATCTGAGATGAAATCTACCTATTGTTTTGAAGCATTTGCAAAAATTCTGCAATCGTTTTGTAGCGCTAAGTCCTGGTAATTTATTTGTGACCTCAAAGTGATTCAATCAAAGGAGGATAACTTCCCTTGATGGCATGGAGGCCTTGACGATAGACTTAACTCACAACGGAAAGTATGCTGAACAGTAATCAAACTTTACACATTTTGTTTTATATGCCTTTACAGCAAACGGATGTGCACTCGTCCAATGGTAACTTACAAGACTACTAAATTTTCCACTTATTGTCTAGACGCTTAACTTATTGTCATCCCCCCGTGTTCGTCTAACCCCCCATCTCCCATAAACTGTCAGAATCGTGCCGTTTGACTGCCTCACCCTGTAAGTTATGCCATAATGTGGAAGTGGAGCCATATTGTAAGTAGCTTTAAATGCCTAATTTTTATTGTTTATAACTTTTTTACAGTAGCCTAAGTTTTCTTTTTTGTTAGGCTACCGGAATTTCTTTACTTAATGGTTTCAAAAATCAAATTTTGAAAATGTTAGGGCCTTATTTAGGCCTAACTTACTATTTTACTTACTCCTAGCCTAACTGTTTTAACTAAAGTTCTTTCACTCATGGCCTTTTTACCACATAACTTCTGATAAGCACAAAGCTCTGATAGTTGGTAAATACCAACTGTTAAAAAACAACCGTAGGCCTACATGATAAATTATATTTCTTTGAATAATATCCTTCTCTAATTGGATAGAGCTTATAGGCCCTACATTGTACAATGTCGTGTATAGTGAAATAGTATCCGAAATGGCGTTGTTAGTTTTGTTGGAGGTGTTTTAGCGGGGGAGAATGAGTACAAATAGGGGCGCACGGGGAATAATTTGCATTGGAGCGCAGTCTGACTAGTTACGCCACTAAATAAACCTCATCTGAGACACATTACTTATATAGGCTACTCAATAGCGATACATAATCACAGTCACATTTGTCTTTGCATATAAAAAAGATAGGCTATAATCACAGACGTTAGAATTAAATAAATAGCCTAGTTGTACAGTTATATAGATACAAATACATGCAAAGAGTTAAAAAGAAATACACTAATATACATAGGCCTATATAATATATACATTCCAAAACAGTCCCAATCTCTATAGATACCTAAGCATTCAACCACAATAACATAAATTCTTCTATAAATTTTTATAATAACATTATGCTCTTCAATGCTTTTATCTAAAAATTAAGTCAAAACCGGTTATTTTTTACAAATAAACCGCCATAGATTATATCTAAATGCCATCACCATGTCAGAGTCTATTGCTGACGGGTAGTAATGGGCATAATGAGGGCATTTTTAAAGGAATGAAGTCCTACAGTAAATCCACGAGAGTCTGCAGTTGAAAGTGGAGCCTATTACCGCATGACTTCGTAGAAGCCAAATCTATAATAACACCAGCTGATTTGAAAATATTTTGCTTAGTATATTTTAATTAGTGTCGGAAAGTAGTGAACGGGTGATGCTGCAACGTAACGCTAGTCCAGTCCTGATATTTGCTGCCACCAAATTCATTGAATTCATTTGATGTATTACCGTGATTATTTATGGGGACAAGGCTGGTGTTAGCCATTTCTTTTATTGTATACAAACAACACTCTGCCCCAACCCCCCCCCCCCCTAAAAACAACTATACGTTTTAATGAAGGGTACCAGTTTTTAGTAAAAACAGCTGATGCCGTAGCTTTTGTACAAAGAAAATTTTTTACAACAAATGGGTACTTTAATTTTATAGAATTATATAATTTACTAAGATTTCGGGCAACGATCTAGATGCTCTGCGATTGTGGGAGACATTCACAAGTTTGCAGCAATTGCAGATAGGTAGGAATGATGATGATGATGATGTCCCTGTGATTGCAGGAGACTTTTGCGATTTCACAGCAATCACATGTGTCAATGATTATGTTTCTTGATCATAGTCACGATGATCATGTTCATGATTTCATGTTGATCGCGGATAGTGATGATGATGATGTCCCCATGTTTAAGAGAGATTTTCATGATTTCATGGGTGGTGATGATGATGTCCACTTGACTTCGAGAGTTGTTCACAATTTCGCTGTGATCGCGGGGCTACTCAGGTTAATTTGGTCTAGAGCTGCAAGTAGGCCCTACCCTAAATAAGAAACTGATATTAGTAAGGACTAGAAATAATTAGGATGAATAAAAATGCTTAAGAACGTCCGAAACGTTCAAACTTCTGCTGGATACAGTCCATTTGTTATTATTATTGTGGTTATTTTGGAAACAATAAAAATCAAGTAGTGGGAGTGTCTCTAGTCTCCATCCTTAATACTGAAAGATGGAGAGCCCTCAGGCCCCCTTTTCCTTTGGCACCCTATACAGTAGACTCCCTCTTATCCGGGCACCTTTTAACCGGACATCGGTTTAACAGGACTACACTTGGCGGAAATGACATCTCTTTATAAGGATAATTTTTATCAGCACATCAGTTTAACCGGACTACATCAGCAGGAAGTGGGCGGTACTGAAACGGTTGTTCTTATGGGAAAGATTTGAGACCAGTGATTACATTTCTAAATACAATGCTCTCCTAATTTTAAGTCAAATACTGTATAGAAATAGAGTATGCATTTAAACGGTCCGTTTTAACGAGATTTTGGGGACGTCGGTTTAACCAGAAAAACTGTTATCCAGACTGGCCTCGGTCCCAAGGAGTCCGGATAAGAGGGAGTCTACTGTATGTACATGTGACTGCATATATGTATATGTGACTGCATATTTCTCGCTTAGGGTATAGCTTAAAGTGTTCCCTCTATGGGAAACTGGTTGAACAAATGATTTATTGACTTTAGTTTGACATAAATTAGGCTAACTTCTTACAATTAATATAAATACAAATCATTGTTATTCCAAATTTATCCAAATTTGTTTGATAACCCTAAACTAAACAAATAGACCCCACCCTTCCTTTGTATTCAGTGAAAACACCATTTTTAGCGGATTTGGCATTTAGTGAATAATCTATTTGTTATATTTTTCCATTGCATTTAGAAACATTGATGGTCAAAATACAGTTAATAG